TCATTATCATCATCAATGGCTATATAGCCCCTTGTGGGCGTCCTCGACTTAGCCTCCTCAAGTACACTTCGCCATCGCAATCTATCCAGTGCTTCCCGCGTCCAACTCCATCCCACCAACGCAGCCTCGGTCTACCGGATTTTCTCTTGTCACCGGGTTATGAGTTCTGTCGTCCGCCATTCGGTGCACGTGTCCCATAAAATAAATAGACATATATTTTTTTTATTTATTAAGAAGATTTAAAGCTTAATAACTAAATAACGTACTAAATATAATCTAAGTACTTAATAATTAGATGGATTGGTACAAATAAAATCATTTTAATGCAGAAACAATAAACTAACTAAATTAGTTCAGGAACACTTAGGGTAAATCGTGATTTCGCTTGAATCTTGATAAATTTAGTCACTGTTTAAAATAAAGCCATCCACTGTGGTGCGACGAAGCGCGCGATCCGATTTTCACGGTATTTTTCCATTACGGGGAAAAATTGCACCCTCGTCGCTTCGATAATGCAGAATCTTCCCGGATGCTTATTATTTATTAGTTCCTTGCAAATCTTTTATAGAGCGACCTTTTTATTTGTCTATAAGTAATAATATTAAGGCTTACTGACTAAACCCATTGACTACAACTTCCACTCATTAGTGCAGGATTTTCACATAGGCAACCGTACCATCACCGACTTAGGAAATTTAAAATGATGTCACTGTACGAACGGAGATCTCTAGCCGGTGTTACGTTCTTATACCAATTGTTAAATGGTCAAATACAGAACAGTAACCTCGTACAGATTATTAACGTTGTCGTCTCTTAATAATTCCATAGCTTCAAAATCAGCAGAATTTCCCAAATGCCGTCTGTACATACCAACCTGTTCGGGTACGTCTTTCGAATTATTCGCGAATATAACAGCATAACTGATATATTCGGTAGTAAAAACTAAATTTAAATTTATACTATAGAAAATGCATTATATATGATGTGGTGTACTTATTTATAAATAACCTAAAATAAACATTGTAAATCCGGGATACAAATCTTGCCTTTCAGCTTTGGTCATATCCGAAACGCCGATTAATAAAAACACAAACCCGGGTACAATTCCTATATGCAATGCTTAAAAGTCTGTACCAAAAATCCAACCCATTAAAAATTCCTTTCCGAATAATATTTTCATTTAGATACGCACTATTTGCTCCTCTTTTTCCGACAGGCGAAATCTAATACATACTCGTATAAGTTTCATTTAACCTATGTTTGAACAAAATTTAAAAAAAAATTGTAAAACATTTCTCTTACTATTTAATGAGTTTTATAAATTGTATTGTTTATTTACAGTTTTAAAAGATAATGCCTCTGACCACGCCAGCGCCACTGGTTAAATAATTTATGTTGAAATACGTTAAAAAAGTCGGTTCAATTTTTTTAAAGGAGTGTCAATTGTTTTATTTCGTAAGATTTTCTATAACGTTCATAGCCTTAATAAAAGTTTATCGTGTTGTAAGTGTATCGTTTTACAATTTAATATTTACACTTCGCAAACTCAAAGACTTATTTTACACCTGTTTGTCTGAAGTTTTCATTTAACAAGCGGTCAGTGGACAGTTGACAAAGGTGTGGTTAGTTCTCAGTGGTACGCATGACCGTCATCATTTTAATGGCCATTCTAACTTTGAAATTGTTTCTTCGCTTTGTATTTTTCGCACATATGTACACGTTTAATTTAAAATTAATACTTTTGTTATAAATTACCCTTTTATAAGGTATAGTCCCTAGTTAGTTAGATATTTACCTAGTTTTTTTTATATAACAGGGCAAACGGGTGAGCATCCAGAAGTTACCCGAGTCCGTTGCCGGCCTTTTAAAAATTGGTACGCTCTTTTCTTGACGGACCCTAATTCGAATCCGTTCGAAAATACTTTAGTGGACAGAAGACTTTTCGCTTTTCATAAATCGCCCATTGTAAAAAGATATTTGGTATATTCTATAAATCGTATAAATATATTTTAGTTACCTAACGTAGTTTTTATGATATGAATATAATTTAGATTTCTTCTAAATTATATTTACAAAAGATTTTATCAGATAGGCCAGATTGAAAAATATGTTTAATACCAGTATTATTACTTTAAATAAACATGGCCTGTCAACTTGTTAAAAAAGCACAATCATGAAGAATAGTTCCTACGAAACTTATCATAATATTTTTAAGTATTTATTAATTAATCATAGGTACGTAGCAGCGTTTCTTAATTTCGAGATTACATGTCAAATACCGTGTAGACAGCAATATGTTTTTCTTAATTACTACTTAAACTTGGTTGTATGGTAAAAACGCTGATAATCTACTTGCCTATAAAGAAAATGCTTGAATTAAACAGATGATTACCACTGTAACTTTGTCACAGGCATTAATTACCCTAGGGTATTGAACATTAGAAAATGTTTTTGTTTAAAAAGATAGATATTGAAATCTGAATTTTTGATGAATCTTTAAAAGTTTCCACCATAAACTAGTTCTCACGAATTCCTAAAAAATACTTTTATAAAATTTGAATCTTAAACTTAATCATTCAGCACGTTCATATCGGAATATAGCGCCAATTTCATATGTATGAACATTCGATTACACACGCTATTGGTCAAGTATTTATCAATTAACACGAAATTTAATAGAGACAGCATCCAGCCATCGGCGTTGGGGTGAATTCCTCGTTTATTACCTTTAGTATGCGAGTGACTGACTCAAAGGACGTAGATGAAATATGAATTATTAGTCAAAAGTACCTCATGTATTTGATTAAGTGTCTGGCATAGTTTTACATTGAATATAGTTGCTGTAATAATAAAAAAAATTATTAAACTGTTTTACCAATTAATAACGCAATATTTACATTACTAACATAACTCGATATTTCGAATGATTTTCAGCAATGTTGACTTAGTGGCTTCAGCGACTCTCATCCCTGAGGTGCATCCCTGTGCACCAGGACTTTCTGCCTTCGTATTATTTAAAACTAGTACTGTGAAGGAAAAATGGTGAGAAACATGGCATGCATGGACATAAAGAGTGGCGGAGAGGTTCTTGCCTGTTCTTCTCGCCCGCTGTATGCCCTTGCTTGCGAACTGGTAGTAAATATAAATTAAGAATCAATTTAACATCTTTTCTGTTGACGTTCATAAGTGTACTTGGTTACCTATACTAATAAAGTTATTTTGAGTTTAAAAAGTCAGAACAGCACAGAAAGAAACAGGTGACTGGACTTGCCTATTAGAGAAAAAATAAATGATCACGAAGCAGATAGAAATCTGAGACCTAAAAAAGTTTATGTCGCCACTGGTTTTTTTTTTCAGTAATGGTTCAGCAAGAGTATTCCTAAAAAGTGTATTCAAAATTCAAAAATCATTTATTCATACAGGTAACAAAATTAGGTACACACAAAACAGGTACACTTATGAACATCAAAAAATAAATATATATGAAATGCTTCTAATTTTACATTTACTGCCAGTTCTCAAATCACTAGGGCGTAGAACGGAAGAGAAGAACTGGCAAAAAACTCTCCGCCACTCTTTTTAATCGGCAAGTTCTTTGTTTTACACAATGCTTGTAAGGAGCTGCAACCATTACACCATATTCCACATGTCATCTTAAGTAATTAATAATAATAAAATAAATTAAAAACAAAGATTTGTCCTCTATCCGGCATGGTGAAATAGGAATAAAGGTATATGTGTGTAACTACTCGAGTAAGCTATAGACAATAATGATAACTATACAAAATAACAAATATTACAATCCTATAAGATTGTTGGCTGTACGGAACTTATATCATGATGAGTTTGATTGGCAGGGAAAACAATATTATGATAAGAACAATGAGAGGCGAAACTTGACTGTCTCATCTCATCTCTTTCATGATCAAAACTTCAAGTTTAGAAATTAGGTACCAACCTGCCAACCAAACTTTTGGATTCCAGGAAATTACTAAGGCTTATTATATGTATAACTAAGGTGTTGAACCCAGGAACTCGTGATCGGATTTTTAATTTTTACCCAAAATAAAGTCAGGTTAAATTTTTTTGCCGTAACCATTAGAAAGCAGAACTTATCATTGGCTGTTTTTTTTATATTTATACATGTATCGTAAAATAAGTTTTAACCCCAGTAGAATGAGTCTCTTCACCTTGTATCTGACATGGTCAATTTAAAACATAATTCAGTTTTCGCATGAACGGACCCTTTTTAAATCTAATTTTCACTTCCATAACGTACTTACTATACTAGTTGTTTTTTGTTATGCGATTGTGAATAAAGTTATTCGACTTAAGGTCCTTCAAGAAAAGAGCGTTCTAATTTTTAAAAGGCCGGCAACGCACTCGCGAGCCATCAGATGAGCCTCCTGCCGGTGTGCCCCGTTCTTTTTTCTACATCAATTTTGTTCCATTTGGAGTAGACTTTTGGGCCGTGGGTTCAAGTGCGAGTCAAGCGTTAATTAAAGATTTAAGTTGGCGCCTGGTAGATAGTACCGGTGACCCCAGAGCTGGTGCTTTCCTCGCTCAACGAATAAGTATCGCAATACAGCGAGGAAATGCTGCCAGCGTCAAAGGTGCCACACAGGGACGACATTTTTAAATTGGTTTTAAGTTTCTATTTATTTATTTTGAATTATAAATAATTTAATTTTTTGATTATTATTATATTATGTAGGTTAAGAATATTGCAATTACTGTATATTTATGAGTTGGAGATAAATTAGAGTAATATTATAAGGTTAGACTTGTGTAGGAAATCTTTTCAAACGGCTGGATATTAATCATAAAGGCTGGGTTATATTTCGATATTATCTGCCGCTATAGTTAACATAAACAATGCTAACCTTTCGTAATATTTAATCTGAGGTCAATGTTCTAATTGCGTAATGTATATGCGTAATTAGTGTATATCTACGAACAGGACAGTTTGTTTTATTAGTTAAAAGGCAATAAAATTAAAAATGGTTTTGTATGCCGTAATGCTGTTTTTACTTCTTAACAGGCCATCAAACAGTGACATAATTAAGGTAAGTTAGTACTTTTAATAGTTTATACTTTTTTAATCCAATAATTTCTTTACTATTTTGTTTTGGTACTATACTATACTAATGTTACTACTATACTATGTTGTCGATTTTCTTAGTATTTTGTTACCAAAATTCATAAAATGCATCATACTCAACAATATCCAATCTAAGAGACAAATGCGAATATAAATTCCTGGATATCCGGGTCTATCAGCTCACTGCTTGTTGACAACTAAGCCATGGGGACAATCAAATTTACTGAAAATACGAAAAATACTAGGTAGATTACTTAGCGTTAAATTACAAAATAATAATAATTAAAAACTACATAACACGAATATAACGTCATCCATCGGTATTATTTTAGCATTAATTTATACATCTTTAATGTGACAATATAAAATACAGCCAAAAAGTTCTAAAGTATGATCCCAGCAGTTATCTGCTACCAATATCAAAAAACGTCTCAATGATAAAAACTCGATCCTTAATCAATTTTTTGACAGTCAGTGTTATTTAGGTAATGGTCTAAAGAGGTCCACTCTAAACAAAAGAAATTCTAAATACCGAAATAAAGCATTAATTAACAAAATTAATATTGTTAATTAATGTGGAAAAGGTGCTTCTTAAAAAAACAAAGGCCTATTTTACATTATGGTAAGTTAAAATACAATTAATAAATTACAATCTTCCTATACATTTTGAAATAGTCACACTAAACCTTTTATTACACACCAGGAGAACAACTGGAAAATAATGTATTTTAGAAATTAACGTTAATTTAGTACATGAACAATTGTAATACGTATATTACGTCGCAATTTAATACGTATCCATCCTTTTACGAAATAAATAAACATCTTAACCTCATCAAAGACAAAACCATGACAACTACACGGGATGACGTATGACAGCTCGAAAATTTTGACAATCGATATGCAAAATTAAAGATGCGTTCATAACTGACAATTGTTCTTTTATGATAATTTACAGTCAATTATAAATTAAGTTAATAATACAATATTTTATTTCAGCCTCAAGTAAATTCTCCACGGGTATGTATAATCGGCGCTGGTCTCGCCGGTATAACATCAGGAAAAAATTTACAAGATCAAGGACTTAGTTTCACCATTTTAGAAGCTACGACTACTTTTGGAGGCACTTGGAGATACGAGCCAAGAGTGGGAGTGTATGAAAATGGCCTTCCAGTATTCTCAAGCATGTATAAACATTTAAGGTAACGCATAATTAATTAATAATTTTAATATTAGATGCATTCTCTTATATTTAGAAAAACGCCATCTCTGATTTCATTATTGAACTTAGAGCAATACTTCGTGGTTCAATTTAGAACATGAGAAGCTCCAATCATAATATCAATAATAAAAGAAGCCTATTGTAAATATTAAATGAATCGTTTTCAAGTTATTTTTTTTTTCAGAACTAATCTACCAAAGCCTACGATGGAACTGTCAGGATTTCCCATGCCTGACGGTGTACCGTCTTTCCCCACATGGGAGGTCTACTACAACTATTTACTACGATATGTACATCATTTTCAATTAGAAAAATATATGCAGGTATGCTGAAGAGGTTCGCGTCAATCGGTAAAATATTAAAACGCTGACAATGAAATATTTAACTGCTACAAGTTGCATTAAAAACAAAACACGCGATTGTAGCGACACCTACTCGCTAACAAAGTTATTTTGACCGCTAAGGATAAGCTAATGGGCTGCGACATATACAATTATTTAGTGGGGCCGGCCAGTCAGTTGTGATACTGAAGCTTTTAAGTCTATTATATTATTCAAAATATACTTTTTACCTACTTTTTACGTTATGTAAAAAATATACTTTTTCAGTTCCAACACTATGTAACACGTGTCTCCCGAGTGAATGGTGTATGGAGAGTGAGGCACAAATACCTTCCTACTGGTGAAGAGATAGAAGATGAATTTGATTACGTCATCGTTGCTACGGGACACTTCAGTCAACCTAATAGACCTGTGCTGAACGGAGAGCATATTTTTAAAGGTGAATATATTAAGTGATGAATTATTATTTTTATTTATTTATATATTTTTTTTTATTTCCTAGCGCTATAAGGCTTTCTAAGGAAATAGCAAACAGGTTAGTCGACATCACAGGAGACCGAAGAGCTGGCAGCTACCTCGGAACATAGATTTAGTCTAGCTATTCAAAGGGGGAACGCTGCCAGTATTTTTGGAACCTTGCCTATGTTATTTATTTGTAATATTTTAATATAATTATATTATAATATTTCATATTATTAAAATACTTGTGACGATGTGAAGTGATATGAGGTTTGATCTCACAACCCAGCAGAGGCTGAGAAGAAAATTACATTTAAGTTATAATTAGAATTTTGACTGAGAATCGAATCCGAAATCCCAAAAGTCACCTTTACGAAACCTTTCCATGAGGGATATAAAAATGAAAAAATATAATTAGTATTTACCGCTGTCGCTAATAAGTGATCAGTATGCAAAATGTCTAATAATGAGTAGACCGTAGACAGTAGAGAGATACATAGACAGACCCTACTAAAAGATATTTCCACAATTAAATGTGAAACATGCCTTTTGTACAATTTTCAGGAAATATAATTCATAGCCACGACTATAGAGAGCCAGATTCGTACAGAGGTCGTAAAGTACTGAGTGTCGGAGCTGGTCCATCTGGGCTGGACATCACTCTTGACATCGCCAGTGTAGCAGACACAGTTTACCACAGCCACCATTCACCAATGAAATTTAAAACACAATTTCCACCTAACTACGTAAAGAAGCCAGACATAAAGGAGTTTAACGAGACTGGAGTTCTGTTCGTTGATGGGTCGTACGCCGATGTTGATGATGTTATATATTGCACTGGTATGCGTTTGACATGTTTATTCTCGTACGTATATAGATTTGTTTATTATCAATTAATGGCAACCACCACAATTTTTAACGGACTTCAAAAACCCGAAGGAGGTTTACAATAAGACGTAATTTTTTTGTTATTCACATGCCGGACCGATCTGGTCGCCAGACTCCAAAAAAGTACATTGTTTCTTTCTATTTTTCGTCATCGTTTCTCGAAGTAGGGCGAATGGAAAAAATACATGGTGGAGTTGAGTAGTTTATGTATACATTTTGAAACTTATACATTTTTGACACTTTGAATTCATTTTATGACGAAAATGAATATAGAACATGATTTTGAAATTTACACGATATATTTTATCGCAAGCCAAGTAATCCATTTCAGAAAAAAATTGATAAAATCACATTAATTGAATGTTTTACATAAGTAATAATTGTTATTACGGGCCGGCGCGCCTCAGTGCTCCAGCTCTCCACTGCGACCCGCAATCCACCCCGAGACACTGACACAGCAATTCGTTGGCTGGGATAGGCCTGAAACCCAAAAATCTAAGACTTGTGTCAGGGACAGAAATGTACCTTACAGATAAAAGGAGAGCCATCTCTTGCTCTGTTAAGATAATGAAGTTGTTGAGCTAACAAAAAATTAATTAACATCGGCTATTGGCCTACGGTATACAGATTTGATAAATTCGCTTTCAGGATACCTCTTTAATTACTCATTCCTGGACGAGAGTGCAGGTTTGAACATTAGCTCTAAGAGCGTGATGCCACTGCACAAGTTTATGGTGAACATCAACGAACCCTCACTTATCATCGTGGGTCTCATTGAGAAGGCATGCCTTGCGAAAGCACTGGAAGCTCAGGTATCTACAGAACTTTCTTATTGAGTTGTTTATAAACAAAACATATAAAAAACACAATTCTTTAAACACGTTAGAACAGAAGCAGCTATTAGATGGCATTGTACATTATCTTTAATCCATTTAAATGCTAATTTATTTCATTTGAAACGCCGAGTTAATAATTTGTATTTTTCATTTAATTTAATTTGCAAAAATGCAACGTAGATAAACTTCGTAAAATATTCGTAAGACTTAAGAGCATGAACGTTTTACAAAACCAATTTCGGTCACGGTGTCAACTGTCAAACCGACTGAGGTCAAAAGGTAAGTAGAACAGGGCAGGGGATGGCCCGTGCGGCGTCTTTTGCCTACTATTACGATATTTCCCTTCTTTAGCACAAAAGCGTAACCAAAACGGTGGCGACTCTTGTTAAAATTGACAATGAGAACAATCCATTGTATTTTATCTACATGCAATATGTTTTTTGTTGCATACATTCTGCCCTGTATGTCAGATTGTATATAAGAATGATTATTATTTTATAGGCACGATACACAGCAGCTTTAGTGAAAGGCAAATTCTCTTTACCCTCAAAAGCGGATATGATGAAGGAGTGGCAGCGGAGAGCTGACGCATGTGCAGAGCGAGGATTAACCTTTGGGAAGTTACATTATTTAGAGGAAAAAGAAGTATGTTAATTTATTTACATTATATTTAGTTCATCAGCAAGTTTTTATCGGAAAGCCTCCAGACAAACTTTTCTCTTTAATCAAAAGAGTCTTGTTAAGGTTTTCATTTTTTCACTACAAATAGAATCTCGAAGCACACAACATATTATATCTCAACATATTCTTTGTCTAAACGTCAGTAAAGTCTAAATAAGGTACGCTTTTTACAATAATAAAGCTTTTGTTTACTGTACTTTATTCTTAAACAAAAATATACGTCAAGTGAATTATGTGAAGTGTAACATACACTTACACTAATAACAATAACAATATGCCAATAATACATCAAGTGAAAAAAACATTATTTATATACTAAGCGTACTTTCGTGAATATATGTTAGGTTCTTAATTAATTTATAATTTTTCTATTGCCAAATGATCTGTTACCATGGTTACATTGGTATGTCTCTCACAGCCTGGCCACGGGACATTCGCCGACGCGAATATTCGCGCGGTGCGAACCGCGATGCGTCTAGCGACTGAAATAAACTCATAGCAATGTATTAATCAAGCCACGCGCAACGGCGACCAGCGATGCGACCGGCGAAATGTACCGAGCGAATCGCGCGGGCGACTGACGTCGCGACGGGCGAGCGAAACAAATGCATGAATCAGTACGGTGCAAGCCACGGAGTCGAGCGGCAGTCGCGGCGAATAGAGAAGGGAATAAATAAGTTTAGTCGTGGTCGCGGCGAAAAATGAATACAGAGTTTTTTGTTACTGAAATACTGGCTAGACCAGCTATTTGGAAGTCTGGCCATCCACAGCATTAATTTAATATACCTTAATCTCAAAAACAATTTTTCAGCGGCACTTAAAATTCTATTTGCATTAACTTTTTTCTCCAATTCTGATTGAATATTCATAAGAATATAATTGAAGGTTTCAATACTCATTCTGGTATACTCAAAAAAATAATTCTGGATATATTCTGAATTTCTCATACTTCTTGTGGAATTCTCCACAATTTCTCCAAATATTAGGTCTTGCACCAAAAGCTATTACTTTCCAAGCAATATCGAGATGATTTCGATAAAGACATTTCGCTGTCGTACTTCCTTACTGGTCGCGGCGGCAAACGTGACTGGTCCGTGGCCTGCAAACGGCCCCGCGCGAATGGTCGCCTCGCCTCCCGCATCGCCGTTCGCACCGCCGATCCCCGTGGCCAGGCCGTAACATGATAACTGCTATACGCGTTTTATAATAAGGCCAAGACACAATTGGTTTGATTAGTAACGTTACTCTTTTCAGGATGATTATTATGAAGAATTATCACAAGAATCTGGTATAGACAGGGTCCCACCTGTTATTTACAAAATCCGCCAGACAGATGCCAAAGCAAAATTTGAGAATTTGCTCACATATCGAAATTATGTTTACGAAATCATTGATGACAATACGTTTCTGAGGCGATTAGAAGGCGATACTGAAGCACAATAGTTTTGTCTGGGCATACTAGTATTGTACGAAGTTATGGGATATTCCAAACGCACTGTGCAACGTCATCATCTGCCACTTTGTGTCACGTTTAAAGTAAACCAAAACTTTCGGAATCAGCGGACTAGCTGGTTTGCTGAATCCTGAATAGCCCGCCAACCGGTAAAACCCGCAATTTTCTTCAGTAACGTTAAAATAAAACTATTGTTAGTTTTTAGCATTTATTGTCAGAAATGATTAGTATAAAAGATGTTAACATTAATTTTAAATATTTAATTAGTTATTTCACAACTATTTTTATATAGTTAAAAAACACTACTTCTTGTAGGTTAAATTACTAAATTTTTTTGTTCATACTTGTTAAATTTATACATAATAAAGTACCTTTATATGGAATACATAGTCTAACTAATAAATGGTTATGTGTTATGTTTCCTGGCCCAAATTATTTCTTTAGTTCCCTTTTACACCTGAACATTTATTATATTGTCGGAAAACAAACCAAGCAATCAATCACTTATATGAATGTATTTTTATTATTTCTACTATTATAACTAAACATCACAGAGTTATCATTACTATTCTACAAACATATCTAAATACGGACAATTTCCATTATAGTAATGATTTAAATCATATTTTCATTTACATTACGTTATAAAGAGAACTAATCATATGATTTATTTCATACTAACTAAAACATGAATGTATAGGTATTCATATAAAATAGTTTTAGTAAAAAGCTTAGAAATGTATCGTTTATATTTGGACATCAATCGGGCATTCTTGCGCCCTCTTACCACCTCCGTTGTACCAACGCTTGTAGTGGAAAGGATCTGTCAGTTCATAGTCGAAATCTCTGTAGTTCAATAAATCCTCCAATCGGTATTTAGCATTGAAATCTCTGATATCTGTGAGGACAGGTGGAGCACGAGTGATGCCTGCTTCCTGTGTTAGGTTGGCAAAGTATTGGTCCTGTAATGTTACACTCGGTTTCAATATCTTAACTACAGTGTGAAGTCTTTATAATGTCATTCTTTATAACCAAAAACTCTCTATAACGTAAAAACACATCCCATACATGAATTATTCGCTCCCTATAACGAAGCAATGCAGTATAAAGAGTTTACACTGTATTTACGAGTCGTGTAAAATAGTGGTTTTGCGCTCTCTACAGAAAAATCTACGTTTTGTATATTTATTTATTAAAGTTTACCACATACATAGAACTAAAACTACGGCATATTTTACAAAAATTCCATTTTAAATGTATGACAATTTAAATAAACATAAGTGTTACAAAAAAATATTAAAAAATACATTTGAAGATAAAATTACCAGAAATTTTTGGTAAACCAGAAAAAAAATGTATAGAAATTGGTCCAGTAATTTGTTAGCCCGCTAAGGTTTGGTTTTTAAAATTATCTCCGCACTAAGTTAAGCACTACACATTTAACTAAAACTTCTAGGTATATAGACACGTATTTGTTATATTATTTACTTTGAGTACTTTTCAGCAAGAGTGGTCAAATCTATTAATAATTGAAAATTATTGTTTATTTACAAAAATACGGTACAAATTAATCAAATTACCCCAATGACGATGAATATTAAAAAAAGCTCGAATAGACTTAAAGTGTACATTTAAAAAGACTCTACTCACCATGGCTGGTCCAACGAGGTTCACATCAACAATTTTCTTGTTCTTATCCTGTAGTGCGTAAACATGCTGAAGCCACGCCTTCAGCATCAGTTCCTGCGAGGGCAGTTTAAACTTGCCGGCTATCAGTGACGCTATGTATTCTGCCTAAAATTAAATATGTGTATGGTTAAGTGATCTCGCAACTGCAAGAAATACAGGCGGATTTATAGCTTTCGAGACAACCATTGTAAGGATTTTTTTTATTAATTAAGGTGTATTTTTCTAATAGGCATAAGCTTGATCAGCCTTCTGTGCCTAACACACGCCGTCGACTTTTTGGGTCTAAGGCACGCCGTTTCCTCAAGATTTTTTCCTTCACCGGGCGTGAAATGTACACATGGACAGAAATTGGTGCATAGCTGGGGTACGGACCTCAGGGATGAGAGTCGCACGTTGAAGCCAAAACTACTCGTGAAAAAGATACTGGATTCGATATCTATATATTTAATGTAAAACATATACTTTTAGCGACATCTACAATCTGTGCATTACATATCACCGCGATGACGTCATATCCTGAAAGTTGAAACGCGCTAACTTCCTTATTCTGGTCAATAGGGATATATTATATAGCTTCTGGAACTTAGCCCCAGTAGCCTTCGGGCCGGTCATTGAGACAGGATCCGCCCTTTAGGTCGGAGTAACTGTACACCTGCGCGATTATAAAATATTTTTTTAACTTACTTGTGCGTCCAAAACTCTATTAATAATTCCCTTCGCGATTCCAATAAAACTCATACTAGGGTGTCTTATGTTTACGATGTGCTGATGTAGAGGGAGGATGAATTTCCCGGTCAGAGTGAGACCTGAACTCTTGTCTAAGAATGGATGGTCGTACTCGTATCCTAAAAAAAATATAAGTTTGTATATTCGATTTTTCTATCAATTTAGCTCCACAGCTCTCTTTCATCTCTATATAAATAAAGTAACTGATCAGTCTTCTGTTGTTCTGATTTTTCTGTATCCTGATTTCGTTTACCTTCTATATATTTTATATGTTTATAGAAAGACAGATATATATAATATAAGTTAATAAAGTAACTGAAATCCATTGAAACAGCCAGTGTATGAACGCGTAACCTCAGGGTTGCGAGACGTGCTTAACCTCTACGCCAAGTTTTCCTACTTCCTTGTACCTACACATCGAGTATTCATTATTAAATATATACTGCTCAAAACAATTAGCGGAACATGATTTTTCTCCTTTCTATTGCTTAAACTAAAATTAGATTTAAATTAACTTGTACGCTATTTTTTACCTTGTTAATTTGTTAATTACTACAATTAATAAAAAAATCAATTTGTATTTTTTTATAAAAAAAATAATAAAAATTGTGCATTGTAAACGAAAAACAATGTGATGTCTTTGAATTTTCATTACTTTCTAATCACAAAAAAAAAAATTTTAAAGTAGTTTTTTCAATCTTTTGAGTATTAATAGAAGTGAGCCTTTTGAGTATTGTTATTCATTGAAGCGAGTGAGTTTAGGTCATAATGCCAGATCTGAGTGAATCGCATTCTCCCGAGCTATCGCTTTTGAAGAGGGTCGAACTATGCGTTATGTAGGAAATTATCTAGGAGTAGCCCCCCCTTCTGTTATCTACAGACTTTGGAAGATACCGTGAGACGGGCGAATATCACGAAGGCGTGGTCAAGGTCGAAAGAGAAAACTACTAGAAGATCGCTACATCGTCAACTGTGCTTTCGTAACCGCACCACAACCAAAGATCTACAAATACATGACGGCTACGTTAGATGCATTTCCCGTGATTAGGGCTCATGGAGGCCACACACGTTACTGAAAGTCACTAAAGACGAATATTCAAACGATATAAGAATATTTCTTTGATGGACCTTTTTTATCACCAATTAGTTTTTCGTCTACAAAGCACATTTTAATTTTTTTAATAAAAAAATACAAATTGAATTTTTTTATTTTAGATTGTAGTAATTAACAAATTAACAAGGTAAAAAATAGCGTACAAGTTAATTTAAATCTAATTTTAGTTTAAGCAATATAAAGGAGAAAAATCTTGTTCCGCTAATTGTTTTGAGCAGTATAATATAGGAGATCAAGTCGCGCGCCGTAAATACAGAACAGAGTTCCCATGGGTTTTTAACAATCAAAGCAACATATAATGAAATATAAATACTTTCTGAACACATAATGAAGCTAATAAATGTGTAAAAGAGTACAGGCATATAAGTCGATGTGTGTAATTTATTTGTTATATAATAAACTACTAGCTGACCCGGCAAACGTCGTTTTGCCATGTAGGTATATTATTTCTAGGAAAATTTTTTTTGTTCTATATAAATTACTATTCTTTATAAAATATAGGCATCGATCGTGGATGGGTGACAGTTAAGGGTTGTATGTATTTTTGTATGCTGTATCATAAAAATAAAAAAAATGTATCTGAAAAATAAAAAAATAAATTTAGGGGGTGGACCCACCCTTAACATTTAAGGGTTTGAAAGATAGATAGTAGCCAATTCTCAGAATACTGAATATGCATAAATAATTTCATAAGAATCGTTCGAGCCGTTTCGGAGGAGTATGGAAACTAACATTGTGACACGAGAATTTTATAAATTACTATATTGTCAAAACGGTCGTTCACCCGTTCTCCCTACATTATAATCTTATCAAAGTCTGTATAATACTTGCCTCTATACACGAATATAATTGATAACTGTAAATAATATAAAAATCATTTCGGTTTTTAAATTGATTCAAAAACCTTCATTATTCGTTCAGTGACCGTTTAATGGAAAAAGGTATCAGTTTCACAAAGATTATGGTTAAAATTTATGATCACCGAAATATTTTTATATTTTTGGAAATTCTTTACTTTAAATGAGATTTGTTAGATGAAGAGCGTAAATAATTTATTCCATTTATGGTTTTGGGTTTAAATTAAATAGGCTGCTTAATATCTACCCGCTCACCGTCTACAATCTAAAAATACTACTAAAATACTGGCTTATGAACACATCTTACGCAGTGTTAGAGATGCTTCTGAGACCTAATATACCTAAAATACCTGACTCACTCACTTACACATTTGCACACACTATCTCATGCACTCAGGCGTGTTGATAACAGTTGAAAATTCAAAAACAAAAAATGTAATTAAATTATATATATATACGTAAATATATTTTAAGGAATGTATAATTAAGATTGATATGGAAGAGCTGGGAACCCTGACACAGTATTTTTTACTTAAAAGGGTTCCCAAATTCACATTGTAATGCATAAACACATTTTTATTTATTTATGTTATTATGGCTTTAAGGCTGTTGTTACCATAAAAACTTTAAATAAATGAATGTGGCAATCACATGCCATTATCTAAAGGGCTTTAATGATTAACCGTATATAGTATAGCAGGAAGTTTACCTGTGCAACATATTACTACATCTACTTCCTCTTTCGTGTCGTCTTGGAACACAACACTATTGGACAAAAACGCCTTCATATCGGGTTTCTTCACGAAGTTTTCTGGGAATTTCGGTTGGTTGTATGTGATGTGGTGGCTATGAACCAGTTTCTCTGTGATGTTCACTAGGTGAGTCACGAGATCAAGGCCGGAGGCTCCTGCGCCGACTATGAGAACTTTTTTGTTCTTAAATGGATCCGGCCCCTTGTAATCGTGGCTGTGCATAATTTTTCCTGGAACAAAATAGGGTTTAAGAAAACAAAAGAAGACGCGAATTCGATACGATTAAAATCCGCTTTAATGTTAATTATCAAGTATTTATAACGTTACGCCGTAATACGGCTTTCTTACAAAATGTTTGTAAGCACCAGAAAACATCAATAATAGAAAAGTAAAAGTAAGTTTTGAGAAAGCGTTTTTAAGGCAGTTTCTGCTGCGCACCACCACTATGTGAAACCAGCGTCCCACTAAAGTATTTCCGAACCAATTCGTCTTAGGGTCGTAATGGCCGGCAATACACTCGTGGGCCCTCTGGCATTGAGAGTGTCCATGGTATAACTTAACATCAGATGATCTTCCTGCCCGTTTACCCACTTATATAAAAAAAAGTAACTTTAAATTGTCTTACCTTTAAAAGTATTCATCCCTGGAACTTTGGGCATTCTCAGTTTGACATACTGCCCATTAGCAACTACAACGAAATCACATTCGATTGTATTGTTATTCCGTTCATTTGTTAGAGTATACGTTAAGTCCCAGTGTTTGCCTGCCCGTTTTACTGATTGGACGAAACTGTTTAACTTTAACAAAATATATTTTGTGATCATACAAATCATTAAAAGTTTTAACAGAAGGAAATCGTTGACTAAACACAGAAGGAAGTTCTGTGTTTAGTCAACGCTTACATTTTCCGTTTCTTAAATCACTAGTTAATAATATTGTCTTTGATTAACATAACCTTTACACATTTAAAGAAAAAACTTTTTACCGGATTAAAGTTATGTATTATTATTATAAATTTACAATTATTTAACCTAATTTAAAATTTATCCGACGTTTCGCGTGCTTTACAGCGTGCGTGGTCACGGTGTTTTCACTAGTTAATAAGTTGCAATTGCAAAAAAATTAATATTTATGAATATAATTTAATAATATTTTTATAGCGTTTTCTTATTAATAATATAAAGAAAACACACATAATAAACAAGGAGGTTTAATTAAAAGGAAAGTGCAGTAGGATTCCCTGTGTCGTGGGCCGCTTGTTAAACGGCGCTGTTTAGTTAAAAAGCTAGGCTGTTGATTAAACAGCTTATTAAGTTAGTTGGCTGCGACATATCCATCATGTAAGATCGACTACGCAATACTATTATGCCTACATAAATCTACCATCCCTCCTTCCTCTAATTAATTTGTTTATATCTTCTTATGTGTATTATTTTTAATAAATAAATAAAAATCTTCTTATCTTATAGTGATAATTTATTTTCATAATCAAATTGATGTTCACCAGTGGCGTAATAATAGGGTGGCAGGGCTGGCAAAATGCCACGGGCCCCTGACCCAAGAGGGCCCCTGCCCAAGAGATATTATGTTCTATGGATGAATGCGATGTCTCCTATACGCATTGGGCTAGCGTGGGGACTACAGACCATTCCCTCTCGCCTAAGAGAGGAAGCCTATGGCCATTAGTGGTACATATACAACGTGTAATTGAGAACGCTGAAAATCTCGAAGTTTATTAAAATTAAACTAAGTAGGGATGATATTTACTGATAGGGCCACATCAAAAGAATTGCCACGAAAGAAGATTTGCCACGCCACTGATGTTCACTTTTAATTCTTTTAGATGTGTCTAATTGTTTGCTAAAGTTTGCATATGTTTAGCTCTCAATTATAAGTGTCCATCCACCCATCTCAACAAAAAAAAACATTTTTTTATTTGTCGAAGTCCTTTTTAATTCAAGAATGAGAAAAGTTATTTACGTATGCTATTGAAGGCATGTCTTCTCTTCTGTGCTTTTTTATATCAAGTATTGGATTGTTAAGGATATAGTCATGATAGTTATTCATCGCGGTGACCTAAACAGGTTGTTTAATAATGAATAGTCACCTCACAATGCAAAACAAGATTATAATTATGACAGATAATAACAATCGTAAATCGTTGTATTCGTGTATCTTTGTTGCAAATAAGGATGTGCTTATTAGGATAATCATGAATATTGATTACAAGGTAAGTTGGTTAAATATCGAAATTAAATATATTAATATAAATCTGATATAGCCTTTTATTCAATAATTACGTTTTAGGTTGAGGTATTTATGTGAACATTACAAATGTATTAAGAAATTTCCAAGTAAGGTGGTGAATTTTGTCATATTTAAAGATACAATTATGCTATGAATCATTAAAATTTCGTTTTACTTTTTGGTGTACCTGTTAAACAGTACACTCGGATACATATATCAAATCTTTACCTTACGAAAACTATTTCAAAGTATTTCGTAGTAATATTAGATTTTTTTAAACCTGAATAATAAGCAAACACTTACTTGAATATTATCCAGTAATTGAAAGTGTTTCGCGAAGGCCGTCAAGTATTTGTAGAAGCAGGTGTTCGTTGGGTAAGATGGCGTAGAGTCCGGAAACGGGAAACCACTGTACTCCATCGTTTGACGCGGGGTATTTGTCCTGAGCAAAAATATTGTTGTGATATTTCTGTTTGTAACAATATCAAATAATTTAATCTGGAATATAGTGTAATGGTAACAATATTAATAAAATTAAACTTATAAACATAAACTAATAATAATAAAATAATATACATTGAAATAAATAACGAAACTTAACATAAACTAAAATATATCATTAAAAGGAGTCCCTTTAGGCAAGGTTCCGAAGATACTGGCAGCGTTCCCCCTTTGAATTGCTAGACTAATTCTTTGTCCGAGGTAGCTGCCAGATCTTCGGTCTCCTGTGATGTCGACTAACCTTTTTGAAATTTCTTTAAAAAGCCTTAAAGCGCTAGGACCCCACGGACCAAGGGTCTCGACACCGAATGGGACAAAATCATATTCTGAGCCCAGACCCCTGTATTTGCCTGCTTTATTTTTTTCAGCCGCTTCACAAGCCGCACCAGCTCTGTAGTTGGTTCCATGTACATGGGAAGGGGCCAGCGTGTCTGAACAGGTTGCATCCCATACCAGTACCCGACCCATCTTCCATGGAATCAAACTCATACCGTCCGGTCTCTTGCCATCGTCTCTTGCAATACCACTTGGCTCAAGAAGACTTGGCACGTTGACGGTGGCAAGGGAACGGCGTATGATATCGTTAAGTGCGGCATGTCTCGAGAAGCGGCCTGCACTTTTTTGGCATGACAGGCCGTGATGTCCTAACTTGTCGACATCACTGCCACAGGGACATATATGAGGAGCGCAGACCGGAACCCCAAGCCGTAGACAGGTTGCGATTCGAAGCGTGTCAGGCTCAAGAAAAGTTCCTGTATTTGACGATGGGTAAGCGTGAAGCCAGTAGCCGGCCTCATGCGTGCCAACGGCCAAAAGCCTAGCACGCGCCGAACCCGTACTACGACTCAAAAGATCGTCAAAAGTCAACTTGCAGTGTATGTCATCCCAGCTCCTCTGTGAATTTAGAGATAATGGAAAATTTTGACCTGGGCATGCAATCAAGAAAGCGTTTCTAGCTTCTTCCAAGCCAGCAATCTCAAAGTTTGAAGGGGATGCCCTTAAAATTTTACTTATGAGATTTGCTGAACTATGGACAGAAGATAGAAAGGCTGGTAAAGCGACACTGGAAATTTTGCGAATCCCTAAACCACCATAACGGATGGGTAGGGAAGCTTGGGTCCAAGATTTCTCGTTCAGCTGCATATTAAGAAGTGATTCTAAGCTAATTTTGATTAAGTCGTCTAATGGTGTTAAAATATCTGGGTGATTCCAAAAGGAGCAGCAACGGAGCACATACGTAAATTTTGGGAGGAAAAGACAGAATTTTAAGATGCAAAGTGCATAATGTGGACTAATTTCAAGGAGACGGTCAGCAGAATTTTGAAATTTAGTAATTGAAGTATGAATATAATCAGAAATAGATTCATTAAAAATTGGAGAACCTAAAAGGTAAAGGGAATTCCTGTTAACTATTTTAATATTTGGAGCCAAAATTTGAAATTTTTTTTTACATCATTTAAATTTAAGTCGCAGTTATTTATGAAAAGTTCGCATTTGTTAAAATTAAGCTCCAAACCAATGGCTTCAAATTTATTTTTGATTAAAAGAAGGTCCGAAAACACAGTATCCACATCACCTCCTAGGGTTCCGTCGTCCAAATACCAAACATTGAAATTAGAATTTAAATTTTTGATTATGGGATTTATAGCCAAACTAAAAATTGCAGGCCCAAGGGGATCACCCTGTTGACAACCTACTTCCGAGGAAAGTTCATTAGAACGATATAACAATTTAGTTGGATCAGCGTAACTGAGAAGAAGATAATTGTATATTTCCGGTATATGTTGTTTTATTTCAGTCAGCAGGGTATCCCTATTTACCGAATTAAATGCATTTTTCACATCAATTTTGAGCAACACGTCTGGCTGTCCGTGACTTAGGAAAGAGCGTAGGGCATGGACGGCTCCCTCACACCCTCCTTTCACACCGAAGCCTAACTGTACAGGTTCAAATTCTGAATTTAATTTTGGTAAAATATGTCGAACAGCAATTTGGAAGGGTCTTAGTGTTGAACCAACAGCAATTGGTCTCCCCCCTCCGTCCTTTTTAGTGAGGGCAATGAGGTTCGCGCCGAAAAGAATGGGAACAATTTCTGTATTGACATCCCCGGAATACATAAAATTTATTAATTTTGTGATCGAGTTAATAAGTTGCTCGCCTGCATCACCCACAGAATGCGATGTTAAATCTTTCAAATGTTGGGGTGAGATTCCATCCAATCCTGCTGCCGAACCTGGTTTAAAAGATAAAATTGCATCAGTTACATCTTTGTTTCGAATTTTAAGGCATGCTTGCCCTGCTGTTGGTGGGTCGAGAAAATATGGGTTTACTGGAGCTGGGGGATGTTTAGTCCGTAATGCCTCAAGGGTGTCAGGCGTATCTGGCGATAGCACGTCATTGGAGAACAAAAGACGAGCGGCACCTTTAAGATCTCCGTCACAAATTTTGTTCTCGATGAGTTTTTTGCGATTAAAAGGGGCATCATGTTTAATTAGAGGTGCGGGAGAAGGTGAGGAACTTACAGCACAGTTATTCTTTATCTTTTGTGTCAGGGATAAATTCGGTTCATCAGTTTTTATTATGTGTAGTGTACTGTATGAAAATAAAAATAAGTTCTGCCAGTCTTGAGTACAATTGCTTATATAACATTTCTGGATTAATTTTGAAAAATGTGTAGCAACAGTTATTCGTGCTCCGCGAGGGATTCTTTTAACAATGGGTATACTATTTTTCAAATGGCTAAGTAATGTATGAAAAGGAGTTGGAGCGTTGGCTGCAAAAGTAGGCGCACTCGGAATAATGGGATGGATTTCTAAAAGTGAACTGGTTTGGCTAATACAGTTCCTGTGTTTTAGAAATGTGTATTTTGAGGCCTTTCAAAGATTTGAAAGACTTGTTGCAAAATGTACATGTATGGGACGCGATCGACGTGCCATCACAAGATAGGGTCACGGCCTGCATTCACAACAGTTAATAAACTAACATAAAAAAAAACAATAACTTAAAACAAATTTAAAAACACAAAAAAGTAACTTAAAAAGGACACATAACAAAAAATAGGACAAGATCAAAAATAAAAATGAAGGCTGCTGGTTTTGGTAACTCTTCGTTTCGTCACAGGATGAAAATAAAATAAACACACAGGCATCAGCAGGAGCACAACACAAGCAAAAGCAGGAGCACAACACAAGAAGAAGCAGGAGCACAAGCAAAAGTATAAAGAGCACAAGCAAGAGCACTGAGAAAAAAGGGTTCAGGTTTAGGCATAAGCAAATTTTGTCTGACCACTATTAAATTGTCCGTTTCTTAGACTTTACGTAATTTTATTTTATTTTGTTTTTGTTTATTTCCATTTTTTACGCATTCAATATCATCATTTTGCATCATATTCCATTTAATTTAATCAATTTTTATTTCTAAATTCTCATAATTTTTATTTCTGTTTGTATGTATATTGATGTATATGTTTTAGCGATGTATTAACATACAGAATGTATTAACATACAGTAATATACCAAAGGACATTCTTTCTACATGCAGAATTAACACGTGGTCTTGAAGGGAAACGCGGTGAGGAAACCGTAGAAGGCTAACTACCTGTTTGCCCAAGATGATAAAAATATTCTTTTTCAAAAATGTAACAGCCATCTTATTAGGGAGTTAAAATAAAATAAATCAATGGCGCTACGACCTTTTTCGGTCTGGGCCTCAGATTTCTGTATCATTTTCATGATCATATGTTAATCTAATAGGCAAGTAGATGATCAGCCTTCTGTGCCTGACGCACGCCCTCGACTTATTGGGTCTAATTCAAGCCGGTTTCCTCAAGATGTTTTCCTTCACCGTTCGAGCGAATGGTAAATGCGGACACAGAAAGAAAGTCCAAGGTGTACAACCAGGGATCGAACCTACGACCTCAGGGATGAGAGTCGCACGCTGACACTACTAGGCCAACACTGGGAGTTAAGGGACTTCAATAAATTGCATCATGATGTACAATACATTGAAACTATTAACATTTTGGCCTGGTTAAAATGATTTCCTAAGGTTTATTTATGGCGCTTCTAAACGTGCCATGTTTTGCTGCAATTGATGGCTGTAACACTGTGGCCCGGCAACATTGCAAACAATAGCAGCCACAATATGCAATATTGCAGTAATGTCCCGGCCATATAGCCAAACATGTTTTGTATAGCCACATATGGCCGATGTTGCCCCGATGTGTTGCCGGACGATCGCTAGGCTATCGAATTCAACTGAAATATTGCACAGCCAGTTCTAGTGTTGTTTCAGTCACTCTCTTTGTTATGGCATAGTGTATCCTTTTCTACGCGACATGACGTTTGCGATGAGTGAAGTGTGCCTGTTGCTATATTCTGTTTTTTGCGATCAGCTGCATTTTGACGTTAGGTTACTACGTAAAAATGATTGCTTTTGACATTCTAGTAAAGTTCTTGAATAACTTATTATCAAGGCTTATTTCTAGACTCAAATTGTCTACAGTTTCACGCCTATTTAAGTGAGGTTGAATCCACAATCTCTTCTTTTTCTGTTTCTTTTTCAAAACAATATAAGCTGCTGCGACAAGTGTGATTTCGTCAGCCATTGTTGTCGGTTTGTGTAGCCCGTTTAGGAGTCTGCGTCATGGGCCATACTATTGCAGACATATTGCAACACATTGCCCAGCCATAGATTGTTCGGCCATCAGCTGCATTAAAATATTTTTGTAATGGCCGGGCAATTAGTTGCCAACAGTGCAGCCATCAATTGCAGCAAAACATGGCCCGTTTAGAAGCGCCATTATATGCATAACCTTTCGATAAAACGTATTCCGACCTTCACCACTAGTTTAAAACGTTTGGTGAATATTAACACGATCCCATAGACGTAGTTCAAAGCCCTATTCTTAGAGATCTCGCTATATTAACGCGAGACGCGGCTATCCGGCTATTGATAATGAAATGTGTTTTAAATTGATAAATACGATAACATTTTTTAACTTTTTATAAACGAATTTACTTAATTGGACTAAATCATATTAGCTGTTATAATAACGGAAATCGGTTATAAAAAAATGCACGTCAAATTCGACCTCTAGGAGGTTTAAGTTGAGTAATAAAATTGCAATGTTTTCCGAAAATTAAGTGCTTTTGATAATGTATTTGCCCAAAATGGAAAAAAATAATATCCGCTAAACGAAAAGATACAATTTATTAATATAAACGTTTAGATCCCCTCGTAATAATCTAATGGTCTTGATTTCATAATATTTCAAATACTGGGTCAATCTCTCAAACGCTTTACTTAAGTCTAACCTGTTTAACGGTGTTTCCTAATGAAGTGAATGCAATTATTCAAATTCGTAAAAGATTTAAGTAATATATTTATAAATATATATATTATAATTCGAATTGAAATTCTCATTTATAAATAACAGGTAAAATTATAAAAGAAAATGTACGTATTTCTATATTAAGTTTGGAAATGTAGTCGCATGGGGATGAGGAATGAGGGGGGAATGACGCACAGTTCGGCATCATCGGCACATCGGCATTAATTAATGGAACCTTTTTATTTAACTGAATTTACATATTTATTAAAAAAAGAAAAAAATATCGTGAAACAGATACAGGCATCGGGAATTGTAGCGTATCATAACCAAGAATTGTAGCGCCACAATTTTATTTCAATTCATCAAAACTATTTTTATAAAAACTAAATACTAACTCGTGTCACAAATTGGCATTGATAATAAGATATCAAAATGAATAAGTTTGTGTAATTGCAATTTCTTAGCTATGGTATTAAATTAGCAACTATAATTCACCTGAGATTCTTATAGGTGCTGGTGAATACAGGTGTTCCATATTCGTCATATCCAACGTGGGGGTCGAACCTCCAAGTGCCACCAATATTGCTTGATGCTTCAAACACTCTAAAGTTCTGACCAAATTCCTTTAAATATCTTGCGGCTGCTAATCCTGAGAAGCCGGCGCCGATTACGCATGTTAACGGTTGAGGGGGGTCCGGAGACAGCGTCTAGAAAAAAAAGAAAAATTCTATGATTCGGCAATATAGCGTGTTAAATAATCGTTTAATATGCTAGACATATTATATGTGTAGCTTATTAAACGATTATAACACACGAAACGTCGAAAGGTAATCAACAAGAAATTGAAACTAATTAGTTTCAAACACAAATTTTCTATTCAAATGATCAATAGGGTTGATAATTATTACATTTAAAACTTAATTATTACCATTTCTAAGCATATATATTTAAAATTGGTTCCCAACATCTCGTACAGTATATTTTTATTTTAGCCTTTTTGAAAATTACTTTTGGAAAATTTTGAGCATAATTATATTGATATATATGTATATGTATATCAATATATTTATATTATTAAAATTTATATTATGTATTTTATAATTGTGGTCCTGTGTAAAGAACTATATAGTTCAATATATGTAATGTAATAATATATAATAGGTTGGGGAAAAAGTTTCTTCGCATTTTTAAGAAAATTCAAAACATTTTTCAATATAGTTTATTTACATTTAACTAAAGTATGTAGGTACCATTTTGTTCGATAACTTTTTGCCATCATTTAGGTAGGGTTAGGGGTAGTTTGGCAGTCCTCTTGTGATGTTAACCTGACACTGCCTAAAGAATTCTGAAGAGACTGAAACAGGTGGAAATCTGAAGGTGCAAGGTCAGGACTATAGGTCGGATGCATTAACACCTCCCAGCCAAGCTCTCTTATTTTTTGCTGAGTGGCTAAAGATGTATGAGGTCTAGCGTTATCATGATGAAAAACCACATCCCTTCTGGTGATTAATTCCGGCCGCTTTCTCTCAACTTCTTGTTTTAATCTCATCAGTTGTTCGCAGTAGAGTTCAGAATCGATGCTCCTGCCTGATGGTAACAGCTCATAATGAATAATGCTCTTTCAATCCCACCACACACACAGCATCACCTTGTTGCGAGTTATCCCGGGTTTCGCCACAGTCTGTGAAGCCTGACCGGCCTTTGACCACGACCTTTCTCGCACGTTCTTGTCGTACGTGATCCACTTTTCATCATCAGTTCTTCTAAAATGGTTCGGTTCCATTTAAAGTCATAATAAAGAATCAAAAATGAGTACACGGTTCATTAGGTTTCTTACAGTGAGCTCGTGAGGTACCCAAATATTGAGCTTGTTTGTGTACCCAGTTTTTTTCAAATGCGCCAAAACTGTTTTGTGGTCAATTCCCCGTTCTTCAGCTACGTCGTAACTACTGATATGCCGATCTTGCTCCACTTTTTCAAAAATGGCATCCATTTTATCCGTCATGGGCGACTTGGATCTTTGACATTAAAATTTCCGGATTGAAAACGCTTAAACCAAATGTGTGCTAATGTCACAGACACTGCGCTAGGGCCATATTAACATCGCAAATTTTTTTCGGCTTGTGTTGCATTTTGGCCTTTTTTTGTAGTAAAATTTTAAAATGTATCAAATTTCTTCATTCGATTCACTCATCTTGACGGTACGAAAAATAAATAAATAACAGACATTATCCTAATTTGATTTTGGAATTATCTTCTTTAAAATCTCAACTTTCCTTGATAACAAAACCAGCCAGATACATATAGTATAGCCAAAGAGATTTTATTACAAGTTCATACATACTATAATGCGAAAAGACTTTTTCCCCAACCTAATATATAACGGTAACTGTAACGAAATCTAAACAGAAAATATGATAGAATAAGATTAATACATATTAATTTAGTAATGTAATTAGCATAAATATGCACGTTATATGTACTCGTATAATGGTAATATAAGAAAGGAACATACTATAAAAGGAGTTCCATAGAAATGTTAATAGTAGAAAATTTTTAATCTAACTGACAGTTGGTTCTAGCAAACAAAATCTCTATAATATTATAGGTACAGTGATATCATTATTCGCAGGTACATACTACTTCATTAAGGCCAAGCAAGCCTGCCTAGATTCACAATGCAACACCTCGTTAATGTGTCACTGACTTGAACAGCCAGCTTACTTTGAAACTAATTATTAATCCAAGTTTAATATAATCCAGACGCAAAAATGTATGACCGTGATTAACTACAGCTACAGGTTTCTATCAAATTGAATTTTACATTATGTTTTTTATTAATAAATATTAATACTGTTCTGTTCATAATAATATACGTTGGAATTCGACAAATGTCGATGTATTTTATATAGAATGTCATTTATAATAATAAAATATTGCACAATCTTATGCAAGCGTATCTCTTTCTAGAAGCGGGACAACCAGTAGATTTCTCCTGAATATAACTAATTATATATATCCTAAAATGTTAAATTTAAAAAATATATCTCTATGTTCTTAAGTCACTCGAAACGTCAAGTAATGTAAAGTAATATATATTGTTTACATACTCGACTCGATTAGCGAATAAAAATAATACATTCACGTTTAAATCTGTTTATTTAAGACAATTTAAATGTTAGTAGGTACTATTTTTTATCGTGGGGAAATACGCGACTGCTTGGTGCGGAGGGGTATGTGGGATTCACTATTGTAAATAACAACACGATACCACTAACACTCGGTCTATGTGGGATGCGGTAACATCGGTAAACCAAAAACAATATTTGAAGCGTCACTTAACTGGTGTGATAGATTTCACTTCGCATCGCATCTTACTCAACATGGCATCTTAAGCATTCAAACTGACGTATAACAGAATATATAGAAATGGTTAGTTGGAAGTGATCGTATTTAATAATCGAAACCGGAAATCGTATCCTTAAAAAAACAACAATGTTTTTATTTGAAAGCCTACTTGTCTTTAGGTAAAATTAAGTTCAATCAAATAGACGCGGTATGTATATGAGAAAAAGATCTAATTTATTTTTTAAATGTATGACCTTGAAGCATAACACAATTTCAAGCCATATAATTACTATTTTATATAATTAAATAATTGTTACACACGTACCTACTTAAATCAGATATGAAGGACGCGGAACTACCTACGTTCCCTTTGTTACTTTCAATTACCCACTTTTTGTCGAACAATGACTTCACACCTCTCATTAGGATAATGACGTAAAGTGCTAAAAAATGCATCAAATATGGACACGAATGCAGTCAAGGCTTACGACTCGTTAAGATAACGGTTGAATCGTTACCCGCATTTTACCATAAATTAACCTCTTTCGATCGCACGCTTTAACAGAATTTACACTTCCATATATATAATATATATATGTAGAATTATATACGAGTATATAATTCTACTGTACGTGTATATATGTGAGTTTATTGCCAGTTCTTCTCTTCCGTTCTACGCCCTTCATTTGAGAACTGGCAGTAAATGTAAAGCGTTTAATGTATATTTTGTTATGTGATGTTCATAAGTGTACATTGTGTTACCTATATGAATAAATGATTTTTGACTTTTATGTCACTGAACTCCTCTTAAAAGGCTGGACCGATTTGAATGAATTTTTTTGTATGCGTTTAGGTGGCGCCCGGCCATTTTATCTATACTGCAACTAAACAACTGGCTTTTCAGGTAAGAGTCTCTGATAGCTTAACTAGTAGAGCTCTGGGCCATATAACCGAACGATCTGGGTTCGATTCCCAGTCTGAGCCAATCATTGTATTATTTGTCTTTCATTTCATACTTTGTTTTATATCCTAATCGCTTGAAATATCATGGAGGATAACGTCTGTCGGATCCGCTGGATTCATATAAAATGTTACAAGAACGTAAATATACATCCTGATAGTTAGTTAAATGCGATTAATATATATGGTAGAGCAGTGTTGGCTTAGTGGCTTTAGCGTGCTACTCTTATCCCTGAGATCGTAGTGTGCGCTTTTAACAGTCGCTCGTTAAATAACGGAAAACATCGTGAGAAAACCGGCGAGCTTTGTAACCAAAAAGTCGAGTCGAGTGGCGTGTGTCAGGCACAGAAGGCTATGCCTATTAAAAAAAACAAATGATAATGAAACAGATTCAGAAATCTGTGACTGAGATCTATAGGTAAGGTTGTGGCGTCTCTGTTTGTTTTATATAAATGGGAAAACCGGGCTGTTAACCTGTTTCCGTTATCTACAAATCATGACCACGTAAATTTTTGTTCATGCTTATATCCACCGTACAAGTATTAAATGCGCATCGAAAAATCATTGGTGCTCAGCCGGAGTTTGAACGCACACCTACAAGGTTGCGAGTCGTACTTAACAAGGCCAATACTACTTTATTAAAACAAAACAAAGACACACACACACAGTTTTAACAGTAATGTCCCTTATAAAGTAACTCAAGGGATTTAAAACTCATTGTCCACTTTCGCCGGCCTCTTAGCCTATTCAAATTTTGTCATACCGAAGAGTAGGTTCAATATTAATTATGAATCAACCCGCATCGTGCCATTATTCGTCCATGACACCAATGTCCAATGGTGCATCTACAGTGGTCGTATAAACCTTTACGTCAATATTTATGATCATGCATTTATTTCGCAAAATGCATAACATTTTAATGGCCTCTTCAAATTTTGATTTCTCAGGTTCCATTCTGTTTCTTGCCATCATACGATATCTTAACTGATAAATTATATATATATATATATATTTTCTACCCTCTTGCAGCTTTTTCTTATTTCGATAATTAAACCCGCAGGACATCATATAAGTCCACTGTTATTGGTTAAGACAAAACTTTGACTTTGACTTTGATACAGTATTTAGCAATTTTCTTAACCTACAAGGTAATATTAGACATAAACAAATTAATTTAAAAAAAAAATTAATTTGCTTTTTAAATTTGTTTTTATTTTCATACCAAGAATATATTTTAAAATATAGCACGATGTCAAATATGTGAAAGGAGAATAACTTATAATTTTGCCCCAAACAATTATAATCTTAAAACGAGCTTTATTAAGGTCAAAAAATGAGTGTAGTGACATAATTTCCTGTTCAACAAGTTTTCTGTTGAACAATCTTATGTACGTTTAACATAAATAAACATTGAATTGCATTTATTACATTGCTGTGATTATTGCATTATAATTCAAGCAATATTATTTTAATATAATTTTAACAATAGATAGACAAATATCTAAACATGTTGGCCTTTAACGACTGGATTCATATGAGAAACGATGGCTATCTGCATTGCCGTCATATCGTGTATTGCAAATAATTTTCGAAGCGCGTTAAATTAATTTAAAATGTCTCTCT